TTTGTGCGTGCAATTGAAGAGCACGCGCTGCGAGCTCAGTACCGTTTCCGCGCTCGCTTGACTCGCGCCTGGCGCTGAAGTAAAGTGGAGCGCACGTCTGAAACGTCTCTCGTTCTGCGACTGAATAAATGCACTTCTTGTCAAGAGAAAAAGTGACCGAAGCAGCAGTTGTGAGTGGGGTTGCCAACCCTAGCCCCGCCCCTGCGTTAATTGCGTTATTATTTTTAACGCGTTAAACTGAAAAAATTTATCGCCTGCGTTAACGCGCTAATTTTGACACCACTAATATATATATATATATATATATATACACACAGTATATACAGGGCCGGATTTACGCAAAGGCATTCTAGGCACGTGCCTATGCTTGCTCATCCAGGGGGGGCCCAAACACAATGAAGAGAGAAAAATTTAAGGGGGTCTGAATCCTTTCCGTACCCACTGTATATATATATATAATTTTTTTTTTTTAAGAAGTGTATTAATAATAAATAATATCTAAATATACATAAAATATACTATATTATTACGATAAGATCTGATATGCATAATTCCTTTAGTGAATTTATAAATATATAAATGTTGATGAAGGTGTGGACTCACGCTGTGTAGGCCGGGCACGGCGTCCGCTCCGTACTCGCTCTGGATGATGGGTTTCTGGTATTTGTCGTACCAGTCATCAAACTGAGTGTTGAGCTGAAGACTGATGAGCTCTGTGTGACCCGGGTCATGATACCACGACAAATAGCTGTTCACACAGATAACGTCCACATACTGCGCCTGACGAGCAGAACACAGCCAATCCTATTCATCAAAACTAAATCAATCTTTCAATATGCACAAAGGTTAGCCAGTTGAACAGATATTATTTCCATTTAGAAGTCTTAAAGGTACAGTAGCAAAAGCCTGCGTAACTGTAAGGGTGGAAAATGATCCTGAAAATCTAAAGTGTTTGTGATTCATCTCCAAATATACACTGAAAAAATTGATGTAGAAACCATTTTCACTCACAAATTGCTAGTAAATTTCACAAATAATCAAAAGAAATTGCAAGTAACATTGAATTAAACATGACATTTTTAAAGGGGTCATATGATGCGATTTCAAGTTTTCCTTTCTAAAATAATTATAACGATTACAGTCGCCACAAATAATTTCTGACTGATTAAATATGAATTTTCAGTGATTTCCATGACTGTTCCTGTATGTTTATTTAAATGTTAACTTATTTAAAATTTGAATTATTATTTATTTTTATCTATTTTATGCTATGTATTTTAATTTAATTATTATTTTTATTAATTTTTAAATTAATTAATGGTTAATTAATCATTGATAATTAATTATTTTTTAATAAATGAAAATAATAAAAGCTAAATTGAATAAAAATAACAAACTCCTAACGAAACGACTAAAACTTATACTTTTTTTTTGCATTTTTGACATACTTTTTTCCTATTTATTACTGTAAAGTTGCTTTGACACAATCTGTATTGTTAAAAGAGCTATATAAATAATGGTGACTTGACTTGATTTGCATAATTCTTTACGCAATTTACAAGAAATAGTATTTTCTTGTAAAATACACTCCAATAATCTTTATTTACAACTTTGAAAAATCAATGCAGTATAGTGCAGACCTTTGGATAAACAAACACCTGGTAATTGTAGGTGAAGATAAATCTTTTCAGCATGAAGTCAGAGAGATTTATTCATAAGATGTATTAGTATAAAACACTCACTAGAATGAGACTTGGTTTGCCAACGAGAGTGAAAGTTGACATAAGGTCTGTAAGGAAGTGTGTGAGTGTGAGTGAACACGGTTAACTGTGGGCAGCGTTCAGGGGAAGCAATCTAGAGATAATGAACTGAACGACTGACTGCAGATCTACTGTAGATCAACTCAAGTGAGAAATATAAGATATTTACACAGCTGGAATGAAAAGGTCAGTATATGCAAGGCTGTGAAGCGGTTACTTTGCAACATAGAAATTACTCAAACATAAATGTGTAAAATGTAAAGAGCGATGCCTCACCCCTTGATCTCTGGCATAGTTGCTGTCTGTGATGTACGTGACGGGCCGGGAGGAATCCAGAGATTTCGTATGAGACACCAGTTCCCTATGAGAAAAACACAACAGTTTAAATATAATCTAAGATGTTTTTCTGACACTATGAACAAGAATTTAGTTCCAGGTGGTTATATATATATATATATATATATATAAATGTAATCTATTCCTAGTTGAAAAACAGGATTCAG